AATTTCCACAGTCATAAGAAATCCCTGCTAAAAGCAGTCCATTGTTCAATTCCTAGTGTGTCATGAACATGTGTAACTGGTTCCTGGTGTTGAAGCATTGTACCAGGAACTACTGATCATAGATTTTGTCCATTGATCACGGTGTCTTGATTGACATTTCAGTAAAATGTGTTGTAATACAAATCTATTTCCCAATGTTTTCTTTACTTATCGGAATCGGAATGTTTGTACTTTTACACAGTAATTCAAAATCATATGACTGGATTTTGTGGTCCATCGATCACTTGATTGTCTGGTTTGTTTATAGGCTGCTGTGGCAGGGATGGTGCTGTGCGGCGTCAGGCAAAAGATATTTCCATTTTCAGGCAAATTTTGTGAATGGGGGGTGTTACCGTCATGGCAGGATATGCTTACCCTTTCCGCGAACAGGGAAGGTGGGATAGCCTAGTGGTTAAAGCGTTGGCTCGTCACGCCGAAGACCCGGGTTCGATTCTCCACATGGGTACAATGTGTGAAGCCAATTTCTGATGTCCCCGCCGTGATATTGTGGGAATATTGCTAAAGGCGGCGTAAAACTAAACTCACTCATCACTGACTTTCATTGATCCATTCATATGACTTTCGCAGCTGTTTTCCTCCCTTTGCACCAAAGGGAACTTGTCAAGACTGGGTATTCGTTTGCGCTGACGCTCTATGCCTTTCTCTCAGTTGCTTTCCAAGACGAACATGGCGTTGATATGTTAATGCAGATGTATGTATGTATGTCTGTATGTCTGTCTGTCTGTCTGTCTGCATGCATGTATGTATGTCTCTGTGTGTGTGTATGTATGCATGTATGTATGTATGTATGTATGTATGTATGTATGTATGTATGTATGTATGTATGTATGTATGTATGTATGTATGTATGTATGTATGTATGTATGTATGTATGTATGTATGTATGTATGTCTCTGTGTGTGTATGCATGCTTGCATGTATGTATGTATGTATGTATGTATGTATGTATGTATGTATGTATGTATGTATGTATGTATGTATGTATGTATGCATGCATGCATGTATGCATGCATGCATGTATGTATGTATCTGTGTGTGTATGTATGTATGTCTCTGTGTGTGTATGTATGTATGTCTGTATGTATGTATGTATGTATGTCTCTGTGTGTGTGTATGTATGTATGTATGTATGTATGTATGTGTGTGTGTGTATGTATGTATGTATGTATATGTGTATGTATGTATGTATGTATGTATGTCTCTGTGTGTGTATGTATGTATGTATGTATGTATGTCTCTGTGTGTGTATGCATGTATGTATGTATCTGTGTGTGTATGTATGTATGTATGTATGTATGTATGTATGTCTCTGTGTGTGTGTATGTATGTATGTACGTATGTATGTATGTATGTGTGTGTGTATGTATGTATGTATGTATGTCTCTGTGTCTGTGTATGTATGTATGTATGTATGTATGTATGTGTGTGTGTGTATGTATGTATGTATGTATGTATGTATATGTGTATGTATGTATGTATGTATGTATGTCTGTATGTCTGTCTGTGTGTCTGTATGTCGGTGTGTCTGTATGTATGCATGCATGCATGTATGTATGTCTCTGTGTGTGTATGTATGTATGTATGTATGTATGTATGTCTCTGTGTGTATGTATGTATGCATGCATGCATGCATGTATGTATGTATGTATGTCTCTCTGTGTGTGTATGTATGTCTCTTTGTGTGTGTGTATGTATGCATGCATGCATGCATGCATGCGTGCGTGCGTATGTATGTATGTATGTATGTATGTATGTACGTATGTATTTATGTATATATTAAGAGACTAAGCGTTAGTCTAGTTACGTGCTGATGCCATTTTTGTACCCAGTTTGTTGCGTGTTCTGACAGGAAACCTGAGGCTGTGTGTTTGAAACTGATTCGATCTTTATTCATTAATCTTCTGTGGTCATTCGCTGATTTCACAATTTCGCCGTAATTGGTAATCACCTCGGCACAACATGATCCAGTCAGAGATTACTGCAGGAGAGCAGAATATCGTCCGCTGGTTGATTTTTTGGTAAAAACAGGGCAAAACATTGATAATGATATATAAACTTTAAAACTTGCGCAAATTTTCTTGATGTGGTTGTTATTGTTGTTGTTGTTGATGATGATGATGATGATGGCGGCGGCGGTGATAATGATTATTTAGAGATTTTACGGGAGCTTCCCGACATGACGCGTATGTCGCGCACTGATTTATTTTTTCGTGTGCGAAACATTCTCTTGTGTTTCCTCCATGTATATGTAGATATCGGTTTTCGATAGAACCAACGTCGTCAAACTATACAGTCGGCTATGGCTGGGGTAATACCTGTCCTAAATTACAAATGTGTATTTTGTATCGGTACCAACAGCGTCAACGTCAGTTGTTGAACGGGACTGATTTATAGGTGTAGGTCATTTGAATCGGCAGCCATTATTAGGATTTGATATCTGACTAGACAGTTCCGGAGGTTTCACACAGCCTCTCAGATGCGAATGCCTCAACAGTGATGAGGAATTGTTTGGTTCGGTGACGAGTCTAGATTCTGCATCAAGCCGATGGAAGGGAAAGGTGATACCTACCTCGCCATGTCCGTTTTGCTGCCTCGTGCATCATTCGTCACCACTCGCCCCTTTTCGAAACCCCCAAGACGGTTTTCGGCGAGTGGTTCATGAGAAGTTCACGGATGCAGCGTGCATAACACATAGACTTGAAGTACACAAAAATAAAATCTTGAAAAATATTTAATCTTTTGAAAGGTGTAACTGTATTAATCAATTCAGGGTGAATGCACATCCGTATTTTAGAGTGAGAGTCTAAAGCAATGTTTGTATATTATTTAGTAGTATTTGACACACGACAATAATAACCGTTCTGCCGACATGTTGACCAATGGTGACCAACACTTACATGCCACAAGTTCATTAACAACTTTGTAAACGTTTCCTGTCACGTTTGTCGTGCCGGCCATGTTGACGCCCTTTACGTGACCTACCTGTACTACGACGCGCTGTTATTGGGACTGATTGTCTGAAGCAGTGGTTACTTCTAAGGACCGGGAGTCGGAGTAGCCTTGTGGTTAAAGCGTTCGCTCGTCACGCCGAAGATCCGGGTTCGATTCCCCACATCGGTACAATGTAGGAAGCCAATTTCGTCCCCCACCGTGACATTGCTGAAATATTGCTAAAGCGGCGTAAAACCAAACTCACTCACTCTACTTCTAAGGACGGGGCGGTGAATCCAATCAATCAGCCAATCAACTTTATTACCATAAGTTTATAAATACATGCAAAACATTATGGAAGTATTTGTCAGAAATATATCATTTGAAACTATGGGTTCAAACAAATCCAGCAATTATGTATGGATAAACTAATCATGTCATATTGACAGAAATTATGATGGAAAGAAACTAATATAGATTTCGTAATTGCTTTACATAGTGGAATTCAAATCGGGCTATTTTATAATAGTTAGGATTGTTTACAAAATAATCATGTCATAATGACAGGAGTTATGATGGAAAGAAACTAATATAGATTTCGTAATTGCTTTACATTGTGAGATTCAAATAGGGTTATTTTATAATAGTTAGGATTGTTTACAAAATAATTCTTTAAATACATATTTCTGGAGGCAGTATATTTATTACATTGGAATAAATAATGAAATTCATCTCCGATCTGGGAGGGACATTAGGGACAAAATCGTTTATTTGAGGTAATTAATAGCTAGCGGTTTTAAATATGATTAAAATATTACAGTGCTTTGTTCCTAATTAACATTCCACTAAAGAAATATTATAATGATATTTCATACAATCATAGATAACAGATTTAGAGGAAGATGATATGAGGTTGTTAAGCAATTGAAGCGATTGATCTGAAATTCAAAGGTTAACAGCATTTTTTTAACCAAGAAAAGGAAATTATATCTTAAGAGCGCCAAATATTGGACATACCAATATTATCAAAAATAGTTTTATTGTAGTTGAGCCATTTATAGTTGTGGTTGTATTTCATTGAATTTGTTAATAATGTTTGATATAATGCTGTTAACGTAGAATTACATTTTCCTGATACTATTCTGGACCAGAAACACAACATCGGCAGTTTGATTTGATCAACAAGAGGTGATCTCCCTGTTTCCCGATACAAGATATATGTTGGGGTACTGCGTCTGAGGCCTAACATATTTGAATCCTTTCAATTGCTTTTACTTTATCAAATCCCCATAGTTCGCTCCCATAGAGCAAGATAGGGCAGATAGCGCAATAGAATAAATAGAGTTTACATTCTATGGACATATCAATATTTCCTAAACGCTTGTACAACAAAATTATATTAAAGCAAGCTTTATTTGCCTGGGTAATGTCAGATTTTCTGGTATTTGAATATAACCAAGGTATTGATATTGGTTTTAAAGCTTGATGCTATCTTGGCCAATCATAAAATTATAATTTCCTGTCAGGTTCTACTTACCAAAGATTACGATTTTGGTCTTTTGACCATTTATGGATAATTTATTTTTTAAACAATTGTTGTAAAAACAATCTAACTAATTTTGTGATTCTTTTGGATCATCTGATAATATAGTAAAACCAGGAGTCGAACAAATATGTATATATTATTAATGTCGAGTGTAACTGTTACACCGTCAACATTATTTCGAAGAAGCGAATTTTCTAAATCATTTAAGTACAGTGCAAATATTACGGGGAAAGATTTTCTCCTTGTCGTACACCATTTTTGCAATAAAAATACTGAGAGTGTTGGCCATGGTGTTCTACACAGGATTTATTCCAGCAATACGGCAACAGCATGAGCATCGATCTGCGCAACTGGGAACCGATGACATGTGTCAACCAAGTCAGCGATCCTGACCACCCGATCCCGTTAGTCGCCTCTTACGACAAGCCTAGTTTGCTGAAGATTCTAACTCGGATATTCTGTCAATATTGCTTTTTCCGGGTCCACAAATGTTATCACTGTCCTCGTAGAGTACTGTTGTATATAATTATCCAGAAATATCGTCCACATGTGATATCGTGCTGAGTGATATCGAATTCCTAGGATATATCCACGGCAATGCAATTGCATCACAAAGATTTGTACGCTCTCGGTTACCATGACGACATGCATATTCAAAAGACACCAGTCGTTCCTCTTAGGATAGGTCACAGTCGTGGTCAGCTGTACCTTTCACATCTAAGACATTGAATAGTTTTTTACTAACTGAAAGGATGGAAGAAAGATTGATGACAAATAGTCTGACCCTCACATATTTTGACATAATATACACCAACAATACAAGTTTTTTATTGACTGGTACTGGTAGATATCAAAGGTGATTAGGATGACAGTCTCTATCTCTTGTCATCACAATCATTTCTTCCTCCCTCGCCGCCAACGTCGACCTGTTCGTGGTGATGGAGTTGTTGCTGTCACGTCGGTGACCGAACATCGTCTTGAGGAACTGATAACGGAACTGTCTTCCAGCGAAGAAGTACAGATAGAAGTTAACGGCGTGGTTGGAATCGGCGAACATGGATGTAAGCACGTCGAGGACACGTCGCTGCACATGTTCCTGGGGTGATTGAGGGGGGCCAGCTTTAATGACGAGCATGACGACGCAGCGAGGAATGGTCAGTATGACGAACATGATGGTCACGGTGACCAGCATAATAGTGATGTGGTTGTCATGACTACCAGACCCTGATCGCTGGGCTTTCTTTGAGGAACCTGAGTTCATGGCTAAATGTCGACGGACTTTGGAGGACTGTTGTATGCTGTAGACGATGAGGAAGTTGAACATGATGAGAACGGTGCAGGGAATGAATGCATATACTGATGCGCTGATCCAGTACCAGTATTCCGTGGTGAAGTCCCTGTAGTCGGCGGAGTAGTCACACCCGTTGACGGAGTTTACCATTGTCCAGAATATGTGCAGATGTAAGACACAGAGACACGAAAATATTACACACACGAGGAAAACCGTTCGCCTTAATGTCCAGATACTTGCAACCTTTAGTGGAAATCGTACTGCCATAAAACGCTCGGTCGCCACAGCAACCAGAATCCAGTTTGAAAAGGCAGCTGTCACAAGTCCAAAGAAACACATGAACCTGCATCCCGCGACTGAGAAGGCGTTAGGGTGATGTAGCAGCTCCATGAAAATTGTTTTAAGTATGAGAGCAACGTTGTCGACGACACTCAACGCTGCGATGTAAAATGTTGATGACTTCAACCGTGACATTTTGAGAATGGTCACTATGCTGGCGAGGTTGCCAGGGAAACCGAGAATCAGAATAAACAATATATAATATCGCTCTATGGAACCAATCACAGGCAGGGAATTGGAATACTCCGTGTTACCGACGTCACTGGCCACGATTCCTGACGTCATATTGTAGGTGTGGTTCCAGGCGTTACCATGCTGTTGTAAGCTGTCGTTCATGTTGAACGATTCCATCTTCGAGACGAGGTCCATTATCCCATCATCCCACCTGAAACACAGTTGGAGAAAGTTAGCGTTAACACATCCAGACACATCCCTTATATCCCAAACCCTACACCAACCCCCATTCACGATACGTCACATAGTTCCTCTATATCCCCAAGGCTCGTAAACCTACACCTTCCCCCATTCACGATATATCACATAGTTTCTCTATATCCCCAAGGCTCGTAAACCTACACCTTCTCCCATTCACGATACATCACATAGATCCTCTATATCCCCAAGGCTCGTAAACCTACACCTTCTCCCATTCACGATACATCACATAGTTCCTCTATATCCCCAAGGCTCGTAAACCTACACCTTCTCCCATTCATGTGGGTCTTGCCAGGGCAAATTACCCACCCTTGATATTCATTAATATTTTGTCGACAAATCAAACGTCGACACGTGGAAAGGGTAAGGGAGGTAACTCGTATTACCTTGAACGAAAGCCATCGCCAATTTTAATGGACATGACGACCACCTTACCACCTATAATGATTCTTGAGTGCATTCGTTTAGCTGCTAGTCAGTTTTTTCAGTATTAAATTGCTCTCACACTCAAAGATAATCATAATCGGTCTGGCTTCAATATTGCTGATAATGTCAACCCAATATTGAGGCTGGTTTGTAACTCGCACTCTGATTGGTACGTTTGACCTTGCAGCGTAGCCAATCAGTTTGGCAAATGGATATCAAGAGTAATGGGAATGGTTCAAGGGGCTAGTGTAGAAATATACTCTCAAAAAAAAGAAAACGCATCATGAAAATAGCAATTTCGTGTAGCAATGAATTAAAACGTGATTAATTTTACAAAATGTTTTGCTCTGTTTATGAGTCCTATGGTGTTTATGTTTTGAAACATCACAACAAAACGCACCATCCGTAAAATACCCCGTATTTAACAGCATGATTTTCAATTTCGGCGTGTAGTGTCACATAATACACAAGTCACATGCAATGCACGTGAAAGTTGGGGATCAGATAGTCTCAATGATGGGTATAAAAGGTTGATCGCTGTCTGTCGATTATTCACTGTATTTGGAATATTGTTGACGAACGCAAAATGCCACGTCTAAGTGAAGCCAACCGTCATATCGCCATTGGTTTGCTTGAAGCTGGCCAGTCTCAACGTGCAGTTGCCCGACGCATGAATGTTCACCAAAGCACGGCTCTGGGAGAGATATCGCCGGCAGAATTCGGTAGCAGATGCCCCTCGTAGTGGGCGAGCTCGAGCGACCACTGCGGCGCAGGATCGCTACATCCTTGTACATCACCTGCGTCATCGAACAGCTACGGCGACCAGTACCGCTCGACAAATACCCGAATTGAGGAGGCTTTCTGCACAGACCGTCAGGAACAGATTGAGAGAGGCTGGTTTACGTGCCACAAGACCTTACTTTGGCCCTGTGCTTCGACAACAACATCGTCGACATCGAGTTCAATGGTGCACCAACGTTCAGGCCTGGAACCTACCGAATTGGCGTAGAGTCTGGTTCAGTGATGAATCACGATTTCTATTGGAACGACGCGATGGAAGAATGCGGGTGTACAGACGTCGACGTGAACGTTTCGCCGACGCTTGCGTTCCCCAGGTGGACAGTTTCGGCAGGGGAAGTGTTATGATGTGGGGAGCGATCACCTGCCGTAGGAGAAGTGATTTGGTGATGATCCAGGGCAACCTGACAGCTCAAACTGACTTTCCTCGAGTTGGTGCCAAAGACAGATAAGTCTGCATTCCCAGTGTGTAATTTCGCTATATTTCATTAACTCATAAAGCCTACAAGATGTTTCAAAATAAACATAAAAATACAGTTGAAATTCCTATATGCGTTTCTTTTTTGGGAGAGTATACTTCCTCTGTAGAGGTAGAGGATGCACGATATGGTGCTTGTGTCAAAATAATGTCGAATACTGTACAGGAATTCAAGACAAAGTTTTCAATCCACCGTGTTTATTTAGACAAAATAGGTAACTACATCTCAAACTGAATCACGGATAACACTGTCGTTTTACGCGCCTTGAAGAGTAGCGCCCTTTAGAGTCCTGATTGTCCAAACCAGGAAATGTGTAAGATCTGTTGGGTCTTCCTCCTGTGTAATTCTGGCACAACTGGAATATAGTCCAAACATTGGGTAAACTAACGTATTCATTTTTTCTATTTAGAGGTAAATCGATATCATATAAATCCCAAAGTCAGGGGGCTTGATGAAAACATAATACATTTACCTGTATATTGTGTTACTGTTTAATCATAAGTCAACATACGAGTTAAAATATACGGAGGGCCACTTGTCATGAGGTTTAATGTATGACTGTGTCCCACATTCGTAAAATTCGTGACCCGTAAGATCCGGGTTAGAATAGGTCTTCATCAACCCATGCTTGCCACAAAAGGCGACTATGCTTGTCGTAAGAGGCGACTAACGGGATGCTCATGCTGTTGATCACTGGATCACTGGTTTTACGCCGCACTCAGCAATATTCCAGCTATATGGCGGCAGTCTGTAAATTATCGAGTCTGGACCAGACAATCCAGTGACCAACAGCATGAACATCGATCTACGCAATTGGGAACCAATGAAAGTCAGCGAGCCTGACCACACAATCCTGTTATTCGCCTCTTACGACAAGCATGGGTTACTGATCAATATTCTAAACCGGATCTTCACGGTTCCAGAACTTTCTAAACAACGTCAATGTCGCCGTCTTGCCATGGCCCTCCCGTTCCCCTGACATGTCTTCCATAGAACACCTATGGGATCTTCTTTGTAGAGAGCTGAGGTGGACGTCCCAACCAGTCAACTAATCTTCAGGATTTTCAGGACCTTGAGAATGCCTTCAACGATACGTGGCAACGCATATCGGTTTACGTCAGACGGTTGACGTCATCCATGAGAAGGCGTTGTGAAGCATGCATTCTTGCCAGAGGTCACACGAGGTATTGATGGCGTCTCTCAAGTCCCCAGTCAGAGGGTTCACCAAAATATTGGCCACAGTTGTTTTTACAGGTTGTGTGAAAAACGACATTTTGTACCCCCAGTGTTTTACAGAAACTCTTAATGATGATCTTATAATTCCATCACCTCGATATTGTGCAAAATTGACAACACATTAATGAAAGATAAATATTTGTTTACATCAATATAACCTGAGTTTTAAATTTAGAGTCCACCAAAGTAGGTGACAACTTTCCTTTGATAGACAGTTTTCGATTAATGTTTCGTTTTTCAAGTCAGTTTCAACTATTTTCAAGTTCCAGTTGATCTTCAAAACTCGAAAATTCGAGAAAATGACGGGAAAATTATAGACCTAAAATGAAAGTAATCGTAGAGACGATAAAAGTAAGCGTTTTGGACAGACGAGAAAATAACTGAAATGACAAAATTATGCTCCATGTAAACCATGTACAACTGTTTCAATAAGTTAGTTTCGGGTCATACTGATATAACTGACCAATCAGCTAACAAGCATGTTTCAGCTGCCAACCGGGTTTTGTTTACGTTTGTTTGGTGTTTGTTTACTTTCTACTAGTTATTTGCCACGCGAACACAAACAAATCTAAAATAAATTGATCAATAATTCCCTGACTTTGAGTGCAATAACCATTTGACATGAAGAGCTTTGTAACATCGTTCGGCGCTATCAAACAATTTATTCACTGATTGAAAGCGTTAATAGCCCATTATGTAGGGTGACCCTACTTCTATCTATCTCTGTTTACCATCACGCTTTCAATAACCTAATCTATCAAGTCCATTCAGCTGTGCAGTCTTCAACCTTATATGAGGTCAAGCCTGTTTTTATTGACTGAGGACAAGGTTCTGACCTTAATTTAATGAGTGAATGAGCGAGTATGTTTTTACGCCGCTTTTAGCAATATTCCAGCAGTATAACGGCTATAACGCATATAACTATCAATCCAGCTTATTGACAGCGGCCTATTAACAACCTTTTAGCAATATTCCAGCAATATAACGGACGTGGACACCAGAAACAGGTTTCACACATTGTACCCATGTGGGGAAACGAACCCGTGCCTACCGCATGTCGAACACTGTAACCACTAGGCTACCCCGCCACCCCCTTAAGTTAATTCATATCCGCGTTATCATATAATACAAAGACAAATATTTACAATATACAACTTAGTTGTATTGCGGTGAGGAGGTTACAACAAAAGGAAACAATTCCGAGTCTGTGTTCAGCAACTGCAGGCAATAGGGTAAACTATAACACTTATATCAATATGTATTTCTGTCCAGAAACATCTTGCCCCTTCTCTTCCAACGAATATGTGAGAAATGTTTCTATTGTGCAAAAGAAAACACTAATAACGGTTGCTGACCTGCCGGTTTTACAACACTGACATTTGATATTATAACCTTGTGTTGGTCTTTATTTTGTTTAACGCCACACTCAGCAAAACTCCAGTCTGTATGACGTCGATCTCTAAATAATTCAGTCTGGACAAGACCGTTATATTGTTGATGTTGTTACGGTCTGGAGATTAAAACAATAATTCAACACGGCATTACAGAAAAGAATCCGGTGTTTAACCATCAAGCAAGGTAAAAATGTTGCATTATGAACAATTGCATTACAAAATCAACTTGTTTCCGTATCTTACACAGCTAATACATCACAATATCATTAACATCGACCCAAGCAACTGGCATACGATAACATGTCTGTGTAAGTCTGACCACCCGATCCCGTTAGTCGCCTTTTAGGGTAAGTATTGGTTGCTGAAGACCAATTATAACCTGGATTTTCACAAGGTACAAATATGGGTTCTGAACACCAATTCCAACTCTGATCTTCGTCGATAGACAAGAATAGGATGCCCACTACCAATGACTAAACAACATTTGATGTATCATGTAAGTCATGCTTTTGGCAAAGCCGTGATGTCACGCGTGCAAAGGCTCTAATCCGACCCATCTTTCTGCATTTACCTTGAAATAACATAATGGAATCCAGCGACGTTAACGACAAAATGGGGTTGTTTTAGGACAACATTATTGAGCAATGCTGTATACGCAGTAAACAGCTGGACAGAATTTCGTGATCTTATCCCATTCAGTAACGTTCCCTACCAATCAACAGCCCCAACAAACATACCCTCCGTTCATTTTATAGGATTTAGACAATTTTAAGGGCAAAGGTTTTCGCTTGTCCATCTACCAATATAGTGCCAATTAACTAAAGGTTTCCCTTGTTATCTCATAACTGTTGTTGTTTCAACATGTGCATATATAGCTGTCTGTTTCCTAATTGTTTCATTCACCTGATGAAGGAGGAAGAATATACTTCGAAACGTCGTGTCCATCACAATAAAGAAGTTGATATCCATAAAATTCTTGCCTTTAATGTTAAGGGCCTTAAAATGTTCAGTTATATAACAGATATCAAATATAATCGTGGCGATGCGGCAATGTGATACATTACTACAAGGCGGGCGTTTACAAGACG